TTCAGTCACGTGCTGCTAAAATCTAGGGCAGGGAGAGGCATGAGCTGCCTGGGGCTGAGTGATACAGGCAGTTAAAATGAAATAACAAGCATTAACTGTAACCACAACTGAAATCAGGAAAGTTCTGAAAGCTTTTACAATTTAAAAATAGCTAAAACTAAGCTTGCTTGTGGTGTTTTGTCTGTTTAGTGCTTAAGGTCCCTCATATCACTAAAAGCTGAAGGGCCCGAAGAAAGTGCTCATCTTACAGGTTGCAAGACATTTTTTTTTTCTTGTTACAAGAAAGAGGCATGTGGGGTTCTGTTCCTCACACCCAGCCTGAGAGAGGAGACATCTGTGTCTGCCCTGAGCTCAGGGATGGTGCCACTGGCTCTGCTGGGAGCAGCTTCTCTGTCCTCCCTGTGTTGGCCAACAAGAGACAGCTAAGAAGTTGAATTGCTTTCTTCACAGCAAGTAGGTTTGGTCCAGTACCAGGGTGCTTATGGCTTTCAGGAAAGGTTCTAAAGAGAAAAAAAAGAAAAAGCAGAAGCCAGGGCTCCTTTGGGCAGCAGATATTCTCATGCTTTTGGCATGTTCCTTATGTGAAGTGAAACTTGCTCATGTTCTGGGGAGCAGCTGATGCTCAGGCACTTCAGGAGCTCTCAGTGCCCGTGTGTGTGTCTGTGCTTGCCCACAACTTGCAGGAATTGACCCAAAGCACTTGTGAAACCACTGACTCCTTCCCCGTGCAAATCCTGCGTGCACCCTGTTTTCTCTGGCTGGGTAGTGCATCTTCCCACCAGCTGGGATTCTCTTCAACAGGGGGAGGGAGGCAAATGTGGAAGGAGTGAGCGAGTTGCCTGCACTGCAGCCCTGGGCAAAAGCCACCCTGCCAGCAGAGGGACGTTGCTGAGGTGCCACCGTGATTCAGCCTGTTTTGCCACCAAAGCCCCTGCCTGTGTGGGCAGGGTTGGGTAAGCCTGGACTTAGCTGGCCATGGTGGCTTGTCCTTGTCCCCTGGTCCTCCCGGGGCTCCCTGCCCTGCAATGGGCTGTGGGGAACATGTGGCTTCAACCATGGATGGAGCTTCTGTTGAGTGAGCACCGATTGGGCTTCCAAAGAGGAAAAGGGAAACCAGGCAGGGGTCCTTGGCTGTCTGAAGGCAGCAGCACTGGTGGCACTGGCTGGTGGGGGGTGCTGGGGGCAGCTTTAGGACTTTGATGTAGTGTTGGCTGCATTGTCACGGGCTGGATTGGCCATGTCATCCCCCGTGGGTTTGTTTCTGGCCTGATGGTGATGCTCTGCAGTGGCCCCTTGGGAACTGAAGGTCTGGTAATCCTCCTCCTCTGTATTTAGACCAAATCTCCAGTTAGTTTCCTCTAGTATTTAATTCATTACACAAGCACTGCCCAGTGGAGACAACGTTTATTCCTGTGAGAAGCTCAGCACTGCTGAGCCAGGCAGGGGAGGGACTTGGGCTCCCAGGCATTGGGCTTGAGATCAGGCAGCAGGCTGAGCTCTCAGGAAGAAAATACCCAGCAAGGAAACCATTTGCTTCTGTGGGATAACAAACCAGAAAACCACTGCCACCGATCTCTGTGACAGTGTGTGCTGTTACTGTAACACCCAGGGTGACACTGGGGTGGGCAGGAACTACATCAGCACTATGGGTGACAATGCAATGCACGGGGCATGCAGCAGCTTTTGGGGTGCAGGAGAAGCAGAAGGTTGCAGACAGCAGAGGTGTGTGGGGAGCACTGTCCTGGTTTGCTTTGCAGAGGGGATGCTGTGTTGGGGTCCCATCCTGCAGCTCACCCAGGCCAGCCCAGAGCTCCAGCTCAGCCCATTCTGCCCCAACCAGCTGTAACAAAGTGCACAGAGCTCGTGCTGTGATAGCATCAAGCTATCATAGTAAAATATGCTCTGTGGTTGTTTTTTCTCCCCCAGACACTGGTGTTTGGAGCACATGTTAGTCGACATTTGGACCTGGAGGGTGTCAGGTCAGAGCACAGCCCAGTGAGATGCTGGGAGTGGGGAGCAGGGGGATGCTGGTGCCTCAGTTCTTGTTTGAGAAACATGTCATGAGTTAAATGGATGACTTGTAATGGTGCCTTGGGTGTCCCAGCTCTGCAGGCTGCCCTTTGGCGTTTTTTTCCCCCTTATTTAAAGCAGTGGGGTCCTCAGACTCCTGCCTCCAGCTGGCAACACGGGCTCTGAGAGCTGTTTCCTGCCTCCCCTTAGAAGAAAAGTAATACAAAGGAGATTAAAATAGGTGTAGTGGGAGCAGGAGAACATGTGGATCAGGTCAGCCTGGGGTGAACTTCGAGGCTCCTGAGTGCAGGTTCTACTGAAAGCACCAAAACTCTCCTGGGAAAATTCAGTTGTTCCACTGACCAACACCAGGCTGAAGCCTGGACAGAAGCACTTAGAAATGAACAAACCATAAAATCATTTGGGTGGGAAAATACCTTCAAGATCATCAAGTGCAACTGTTCACCCAGCTCCACTGGCTTCCACTGCCAAACCCACCACTATTAACTGAAAAAAAGGCTTGTTTCTAACACAGTGAGAAAAGAAACCCCTGGTGCCAGTGAAGCCCAGGAGTCTGCAGGACCTGTGAGGAAGGGGCTCAGCAGAGTGACAGCCAAGGAGGCTCCAAAGTGAAGCAGAAGCACAGCCAGGTGGGTACCCCCAGCAACTGCCCAGGGTTGGTGGTGGGAGCTGCAGTTTGGGAATGGTTACATTGGTTCAATTCTGGGTTGATTAGTGCACAGAGATCCACGTGCACAGATACAAAATCTCCAGCCCAAGGAAACAGCAGTTCTGTCAATATATTAGTCTAGTTTTTAGCTACTGTCTGTTATCTGATCTAGGATCGAGGCCTCATCTGGACTGAGAACAAATGTGAAGTTAAAAACAACTGGGCTGTTAGAGGAAGGCAGCAGGGATTTACAGGCTCCCTCCTGTAAATCAAGGGAAGGGAGGCACAGGATTGTTAAAGCCCTGATGATTATTGATGACATTCAGGCGTGTAACCAATTATTTAATTGCAGATGCTGCTCTGAAAAGGGCCATGGCTGAAACTTGCTGAAGAGGCTGAAGTGACCCAGGGAGCACCTTGGGGCCAGCTTGTCTCTCCTGTAAGAAATCACTGGCAGCAAATTGTGTCATATATTTGCATTGAAGTGTGAGGACCTGGGGTGTTCTCACTTCCCTGGCCGTTCCTGCATGCAGCACATCCTCAGTGCTCCTCCCTGCTGGGCTCTGTGCCTGCTGGGCTCTCCCCCAGCACTGGGACTGGGCACAGCTCTGTACTGGGGCTGATTTACAGCCCTGTTAACAGCTTGGAAGAACAGAACAGAGGCTTTATAAATTAGGAAGTCTTTATTAGCAACAATCAACGTTTTCTTTTCACACAGATAAACATGAAAAAGTTCATGAGATGACAGAAGCTGTGGCCAAGGACTGGTGTCCCCCCACCCAGCACAGCCCTTGGAGCCATCCTCACTCCTCCTGCAGCACTGAAGTCAAGGCATTTGGTGGAGAAAAAAAAAAGACTACAGAGTTGGCTCACCAGGAGCTTAATTTGTTCTGGTAAGAAGCTGAATTTAAATTTTACAGCACTTGGCTCCCGCGCTGCCCTTGAGCTGATGCCACCCGAAGGCTTCCAGCAGAAGGAGCAACCCACAGAGCTTTCAGTCCTGCTTTGGGGCTGCCCCTGCTCTGGGGCAGGCTGCCAGCAGGGATGCCCTTCTGTCACCACAGCCCTACAAATGGAATGAATCAAGTATAAACAGCCTCTCTTCAGTGGTAACTTACAAAGCCAGCAGCTAACTGACAGCGTTTCGTCACGCTGGTGCTCTGGGTACTTCTAAATATTAGAAGCAAACGCCTCTGGGTTGTGGCATTTTCCTCTGGCTCAGTGTCCTGGAGCCTTCCCGGGGGCAGGAGAAGTGGGGTGAGGGGGAAGGAGCCCCAAAACCAGCGGGTCTGTGGGCACCGAGGCTGCTCCTCCTGTGCAGGGTTAGAGGCAGCAGCCCCCGGTGCTGGCAGCTCTGGCTGCAGCTCTAGGAATTTGAATGCAAATTACCCAACCCACCTTAAAATGGTGGTCAATTAAATATTCTCTAACTTCTACAAGAAAAAGAAAACAACAAACAACCAGTGAGTAAAACCCAATCAAAGACTGGAAAATAGTAACGTTAACCTTCAAAAGTGCAGAGTGAGCAACCCAGCAGCTCTGGAAGTCTTTTTGTTAGCAACAGTGAAGTCAAGTTCTATTAGAACCAAGCATTTAATTCCTACTGCTGTGGTTTTCTTTCATCTGGACTGATATCTAGGCTGAAGTCTGGAGCTGGGGTGAACTGATCTATGGCTGTGACACTCAGACCTTGATCACAGGACTCTTTTTTCCTCCCCATTGCTTCCCAACCACAGGAGAAAAAAAAAACAAAGCCCTTGGTGACATTTATGGTGATTTTGCTCAGAGCAAGGCTGAGGATTTCAGTGCCTAATTCCAGGACCAGAGGCAGTTATGTGGTTATGCATAAAAATCATTTGCATAAATAAACAGAGGGATAGAAGCTGAGGAGAGTGCTCGTTTGCTTAAAATTAAACTTCACTGAACTCGGAGCTGGAATTGCTCCTCCTCAGTAAAATTGCACTCAGGAACAGCTCTGCTTATCATCTGTAGGAGAAGGTTGGTTTGAAGCTGTGAGCCAAAAAGCACATAAACAGTATTAAAATACAGAACAATAAATAATACTTTACAAGCTCATCACGCTTTTCCTCAAAACACATTGTAAACATAAACACTGAGGTATTAGAAGTAATAAATATCAAATTCAGTTGTTTAAACCCAACACTTTTAAATACAATATTAAACTTGAAGTTATTCATCTGTAATTCTCAACTTTGACCCTAAGATAACTTAATTTCTGGTGTGTTCTTGCAGCCTAAAGTGATTTCTGAAAAAAAAAAAAGCAGGACTGTGTGTGAAAGAGACAGAGCTGGGGGCATTTTCACTTCTTTCTCTTCATCAGCAGGTACTCCTCCATGTAGTTGATGAAGATGTCAAACTCTCCCATGGCTTTGTAGATTCCGTTCTCATTCATCTGCAGGTGAAAACCAAGTCCCTTTAAGTCTGGAGGTGATGACACATGGGATGGATGCACAATTGCTAGAAATATTCTCCTTCCACCAACATTTTCATCTGCTCTGCTGGAGAACCCACCCACTGCTCCTTCAAGCATCACCCTCTGGATTTCTCTGCCTTAGGTATTTAAATAATTAAGGAGTGCTTTGGATTGTGTTCTCTGTCCTAAGCTGAAGCCATAAAGCCCTCTGCCTTGCTGGGGATGGCAGGTTCTCCCAACCTCAGCATGACCTTACCTTATCAAATGTCTCCTTGATCTGCTTGACTGTTTTGCTCCTCTTCTCACACGTGAAGAATCTGTGCTGCAAAGGGACAAGAGCAACGGCTCAAACCACTGGGGTTTCCTTCCCAGGGCACACGGCAGCAGCTCTGACCTCCTCCTGCCCCTCATCACTGCTTCTCCCCACCTTCCCCTTCCCCACATGGGGCCCTGGGGGGCAGCCACTGCAGCTGCTTGGCACCATGCACTGGTGGGACAAGCACAGCACCACCTGGGGCTCTTGGTCTGACTCAGCAGTGATGGGATCCAGGCGCTGCTTCAGGAGTTGTTGCAGAGCCACGTTGCTTCCCCAGCCAGGTAAGGGACCCTCTGCCCTCCCTCCCTTTATCCCTTCAGCCAGACTCTGTTGGGTGGGATAGGCTGCAAATAAATTGTGCTCCTGAATGGAGCATCCTTATTTCAGAGGTAAGAGAGGTGGGGTAGGAGAAACCTCATCCTTGACAGTGTCAGCCTGCCCACAGCCCAGCTCCTCTGCACCACCCTCATGTCTGTGCTCCGGGGCAGACCCAGCACCTGCTCCTCGCCCTCCTGCTGCCCTGGGACTGGCCCTCCCTGGCTGGAGCAAGGATTTCATCCCCCCTGTGATGCTGAGCCCCACTCACACAGCGCCTCATGCTCGCCTTCAGGCTCAGCAGCAGGTTGCCCAGGTCTCCCATGCTCTGCTGGTGGGACGTGCTGGTCTTCATGGCGCTGGGCAGCACCTCCTCCATGTAGAACCGCATCATCTCCGACACCGACTGGCAGCCTAAGCTCCCCTGGGGTGAGAGGGGGTAACGGTGTTGGGGGAGGCCACCAGCACCCACCGGCAGGGTGGGGGGGCTTAAAACCCAGAGGGGGTGGTGGGCAGAGCACTTGTGGTGTGTTGGCACCACTGGCTGCGGCTGC